GATTGAAGATTTAAAACAAGATGCCACTTAAGCAGTTTTTTCGTAAATAAAAAAAATCTAAAAAATATATGAATACAGTTATGTTTTACACACATTTTAAATTCAAATTTGGACAAAATTGTATATTAACACAAAAAATAACGTTTATTTATTTTTTTTGTAATTTGTTGCCAAAACAGCCTAATTTTATTTTAGTATATTTAATATTTTTCCAGAATCACTGATAACTTAAGAATAATATTAATTGAACTTACTGACTACCATATAAATAATAAATAATAACGATATAAAATATTCTAGACTGACATACCATCTCCACTCAGAATCGTTTTTCGTATACAATGATATGATATCATTGAATTCAAATTTAATACCATCCATTACAGCTACCTCCTACACACCTAATGTATAACAGAGCGATATCTATACTTACCCCCTTTTTCCAAATGATCTATTAAAATACGTTTGTTATTAAACTGGCTTATTCACGATAGTATGCACTTAGCCGATATTTTGAGAAATTATTTTGGTGTTACAAACATATAGGTAATTCAAATAATTGTTACCTTAAGAGGACGTAACACTAGTATTTGTTGTCTCCGTCTTACCAATGCGTAATATAGCAAAATTACGCTCGGCAGAACACTTGTAGGCTGTAGCTCCTTTAGTTTAAAAATTAGAGTGAATCGACCTATTATGAAACTTGATGGTAAGAACATTATCTGTGTTTTTACGTTGGATTTTTGCGATAATTCAATTTTTAAGTGAGTTATGACCATTTTTAATTTAACGTATATTATATACATATAACTTGCTAAAAAATTGAATTATCGTAAAAAACCAACGTAGAAACACAGATGATGTTCTTACCATCGAGTTCCAAAATAGGTCAATTCACTCTAATTTTTAAACTAAAGGAGCTACAAGTATTCTGCTGAGCGTAAATTTGCTATATTACGCACTGGTATGACGGAGACAACAAATACCAGTATTACGTCCTCTTAACACTGCTCCGTGGAACACTATGCGACATGCTCCCCTACGAACAATGTTGTACAATAAAAAGCTACTTTTTGAAACTAGAAAATGTCAGACATAATAATTTCAAATAATACAACAATGTCCTGTTATTTTTATGAATTTATTAGAATAGCTAATAATATAATATATAGTATAGTATTTGTAGTTCACATAGCAGTGCAAGGGGAAAAAATATTATGGTTTATAGGCAGCCCCCCCCCCCTACATCAAATTATGGTCCCCTGTGCAAAATGTTTTTTCGGGCCCCATAAAAAATGATTTAACATAAAATAAGTATTCCTATCAAAGTTTCAAATTTCAAACATTACAAATTCATTTAAACGGACCACGTACTTCAAATCCAACAGCCCCTCCACCCTTGACAAAGGTATAGTTGTAGTTGCAACATTTAAAGTTTTTATAACTATTTTTTTGTAAAGGGTTATAAAATATTTTATGGGATATAAATAAAAAATTGTAGCTAAAGTATTATGGTTATCAGTAATAGTTACCATTTAATTTAGTTGAATCTGCTATTTTATAATGTGTCGAGCATATTCGTTGGTAGAAAAAAATCTATTGTAATTTACCAATCTACGTAATAGTAAAAATATTTTAATACTATATTGCTATACAATAAATGTACACTATTATAGACATATAAACATAGGTAACCTATAACCTAATAATACCCTTATCCCATTTAACCCCCCCCCCCCCCGTGCACGGCACTGGTATGGACTAATATAACTATTATTTTTTAAATATAACATCAGTGGTTTAGCGGAAAGTGGGTTTGCACAGGCCTATATTGTTTTGACACTTGAGTAGGTGGCCTGGTGGCTAATATATTTTGCAATACCTATTTGTTATTAATATTAATGAATTTCTTTAATTGTCAATGAATGTGCCATTTTCAAGCATATTAAACTGAACTCGAATTTCCAAATTAGTTAATTCTTCCTAAGTACTTAATATAGAAATAAATAACAGTTCATAAATTAAAACTCGTATGTTCATATAAGTTATTGACAATTGGAAAAAATAATAGTGGTGGGTGTTATGACGTATAGTAAATGTGGTTGATATACTATGGTACGAGGTAAGTACCTGCAGTTATTTTATTGAGCCTAAGAGTCAAGAGTGACATATTAACATAATATTTTAACTCGTTTTGATCTATACTTATAAATATTTTCAATTTTCTATTTTTATTAGTATTTTTTATGCAAATGTCGATCATTTGTTTATATCTAAGAATTTAAAATTTAATACAAGAGTTCTCATAATTAATTCATACTGTAACAAAAATATAAACACAGTTTGTTTGATTTATATTTTAATTTCAAATTTAGACGAAATTAGACATTTAAACGAAGAATAATGATTTTAGTAAATTTGTGTAATTCAAAAATATTATTCGTGGGTACTTAAAACTTTTTGAGTACCCATATTCTTATATTTTATACATAATTTTTCGGCAAAAATGAATTTAACCTACTTTAGAATTAATGCTAAAAACTGGCGACTAAAAGTTACGAACAATAATAATATAAAAATATGCTTCATAAAGATATGAATTCTATACTCACAGAATTGTAAATGGCAGCCCTGCAGGAGCCTTATTTTAAGGAATATTGGTCGATCGTATTACAAATTAATTACACCAATATCGGTTGATCACGTGTGTAATCTTAAACACACTCTGCGAGTTATATTCGAAGTAAATATTATTTTTTAGAGGAGTAAAAAATACTATTTTCTTGTGGAGAAATATTAAAAGAAGAATACTATTCTACAAAGTATAATTATGTTGTATGTAATAATAAACCATCATACAAATAATATGCTTAAATAAATTTAGTGTTCGATTTTAATTTAAGTAGCTCACTTGTTGGTATAAGTTGGTGACATCTAGCTGCTGAACGGTAGGTACCAAATATAAAACGCTCTTTCGTTAATCATTACATTTTAATCAGCCCGTGATCATTATTATCAGTTTTTCTGTTTTTCTACACGATTAGATTATTATTTAATTTTATGACGTCGGACGTACACGTAACAATAATTATAGACATCGATGACAATTATAGACAATCGTGGCTGTACTTCACGTAAAAACACTGTCAAATATATAGTTATTTTGTTCGTTATCGGCTTTTTTTTTGTAGTATATTTTAATGTTCAAAGTATAAAATGTATGTATTTATAAAGCTTTATAGAGCTGAATAATAGCTTATGGCCTATTCACGTGTGAGGCGACCGCGGACCCATAACCGTAATTTAATGATCAAGGTGAATTCGAATTGATATCAATCCATACCTTGTTAATGACCCGGTTTAAGTTATACTTAAAATACTTAAAGCCTGATTTCCACTGTACGGTGTATACATGAAAGATGTTCAGCTACGTCCACGATTAAAGGGAATATCTATATTCTCTAAGAAACTATCTGAAGTCGTCTAGCAACAGCAACACTGTAACTTGGTTAATCGTATGGATCAGGGCCGGCTTGCGGGTAAATATCGGGGCTATGTGCAAAATGTTTTTGCGGGAATTATATATTATAGTGGTTGTTCGTTTTTTATACCCGCTATTTATTTGTTTATCACTCTGAAAGATAGTTCGATTTTAAGTCTACTGATGAATCTGAATAAATTGTTCTAAAAATCAAATTTAAAAAACAGCTATTTTAAAAATGTTCTAAAAAATTTGAATTTAATTTTTAAATTTATATTTTAGTATCAAAAAATGAAAATAGTAGGTAAGTTGGATGTCGCTCTGCTAAACAGTACGTTGCAAGTGGATTTCTGTAATGGGTGGTGTACTGGTGTTAAATTTGAATTCAATTATATAAAATCATTGTAAGTATACGAATGTATTTCGAGCGAAGACGATTTTCTATTTATTTTAATAACGGGAATTAGTACTATGGAGTGGGTTACTTACTACTTCATTTTTGCTAAAAAAATTACATTTGAAAACTTTATTGTGTGTATAAAATACAATAATAATATAAAAATATTTAAAAAAATAAATCATTGTAAAATCAATATACATTCATCGCTCAACTTAGAATCTAAAATGAAAAAATGTACATTTTTAATTAGTTCAATTGTTTAACAAGATATAAAAAATTGTATTTTGAAATATTGATTATGTAATTAAAATTATTGCAATAGTTAGTTATTTCTCCTACACTATACTACAATTCAAAAATTGACTTCGTCGAAGTCTCCGCCCGCCACTGTTTATACAACTATATAATAATCTATACAGTAATAAAATAAACAAATCACAAACAATTATAATATGGAACTATGTAATCTGTAATAAATGGCCGATTAAAATGTTTGTCCTCGTCAAAATTCGTAATGAAAACCAGGTTTGGAGTTGAACGTCAACCGTGTTCACTGTTAATGTATTCACACAAACGTTATTTGTATTTTTCTTTCCACACCTTAATAAATAATTATTACATCGCAAAAATATACCAACTATAACAACATATTCATTAAGAGGGCGTCGCACTCGCACGTGTTGTCTCTGTTTTACGCACGTACGACACGGCAAATTTTCGTACGCTGGTTTCGATGGTGCCGTGCTGTCGGTATCTAATGAGGATAATATATAATTGATAAATCATCAAACTAAAACTCATTATATTAATAAATGAAATACCTGAATGATATCAAACTATTTACCGCGGGACGTCTCCTCCGTTCGGTTTCGGTACGAGTCCGACGTTGGTCGTCAGAAAAAAATCGATAAACGCATCGCATTGAAATAAAAAATACCCAATTGCCTGTATAGTGAAAGAACAACAACACTATTAATAAAAACGTTATTACGTGCTATTTCCGACGAATATTATATTATTATACCGAGCGCGGTACCAATGTAACATTATTGGAATAACCCACCGATTTGGCCATTGCTCCTACAATATTGTACACTGATAGTGTTATCGATCTGCCGTCGCGATGCGCGAAGTGTCGTATCCACGGGCGCGTTTGGCGTGCTTGCCGAGTTCAGTGTTCGCTACGAGCCCGAACTGTGCAAATTACCGCCGACTGATCATGTCGGGCCCGGCGCATGGTGAAAACTCGGGATCCGGGCACCGGAAGTAAGTATACGTAATGCAATAAATAAATAAAAATAAAAATAACATTATGACGATATTAACGATTGTTAGGGACAGGATTTTTATGTTTCTTACGACTGTTTTATTTTTACTATTGTGCACGCGCAGCAAAATATTCGGTCGAGGTTTCTCGACGTTTCGTGTCGGCGCACCGTTTGCTCTCTCTCTCTCTCTCTCTCTCTCTGCGCCACCCGCAAGACCATAATGACAAAATGTCAAAAGAAGTATTCACATGGGAAATGGGAATCCATTTATTTTTCTATTCGTTCTCGAGATTAAACTTAAGTAAAAATATCATCCATCACAATGGTATAGACTATAGAGAATAATGTTTTTGAGCGTATGACGTACCAATCGGTTTGTCTGAATTTTTACTCTAAACAATTTGAGACTCGTTTAAATAGGCACCTAATTATTTTACAAAAAATAGGTTTTTTTGGAAAGTGGTACCTATAGAAAGTCGAACGATAATAAAATATAAAATCGATGTGTCCATCCCACGAAAATAATACGCTCTAGGTATAACTATTTATTTGTAATACGAGTGGGTGATTTTACTTTAAGATTACTCAAAAATCATAAAAACCCGATTTTATGTGAATGCGTTTTATTTATGTTGTATCTGAGTCCGAAAGAGATATCATATATTGTGCCTCAACAACATCGTTTTTTGCATACTTAAACATTTAAGAATATTTTATACCTAATGACTAAAGACCGGATTTGTGTGCATTTATGAATCAAAACTTAGAAATATGCTCTTTAAATGATTAATTCGCAGCATTCGCAGCTACACAAATCGTCGAATTTTCTTACTCCCGTTAAACTGCATTAACTTTAGTTTTAATAATATGAACATGAACACAAATTTGGACTTAATTAATGACTGGTGTCTTAGGAATATTTTTATTATTTGAACAATAAATAACAAGGCACTTAAAAAAAAATAGTACCTATAGGTATAGGAAATGATTATTTTCATTACGTTTTAATACAATGCTGGTATTAGCCGTATTTATACTGTTATTTTGTAGTAATTTAAAAATATTATTCATGGGTACCTAGTACCTACCTACTTGAAACTTTTAGGGTATATTATTATATTTTATACACACGATGACATTTTTATCGATATAATTTTTTTCGACAACACCGAATTTAACCTATACTGTAGTACTAATCCACTATTGTATTATAAATTACTTTAATCACTATAATATCACAACATACAGGTACTATTGTTCATTAATATTATAGGTTGACGGACTGTACACAGTCCTGTTTCATATACAATGATTGTACCTATAACATCGAATTCAAATTGATCATATCCATTACAGTGAGTAACCTAAGACACCTCCTATGCACAGTAGAGCGTTACCCATTCATCCACTTTTTTTATTTTCAAATTATTTATTGCGATTTAAAGCGAAGCTGAACATTTTTGTGGTTGTGTAATGTGTGAGTTTAATATCCAAACTACTGACTCAAATTACCCAATTCTTAGTATTTAGTAAATATTTGTTCAATCAAGAATATACTTACTTAAGCTATTATACTGTATAATTTTGGAAAACTCGGCTGTGAAGTAGGACAGAAACACACCTGTGGCGCCATCTGTTATGTTTTTAACGTGACTTAAAAAAAATGTTAAAGAACGAATTTACCACTCGGGTGAAGTTGAGTAATCTATTAATGATATAATGCAGGATAAGAAGAATATAAAATGTGTAAGAGGCTATCATGATAATATTGGAATGAGATCCACACATAACTATATGTGGTATTAACGTAGCGCCAATTTATCATTATTATTTTTTCATTAACAATTCATTGTCGAAAATTAAAAGTAATCCATCAATGGACAATGACCATGGTTTAATTCTCACTAATCATAAATTCAAGTTCGGAAAAAAATAGATACTTAAAAAGACAATTAAGCTTTTAGTTATTTTTTGGTAATTAAAAAATATTATTTGTGGGCACCTAGGTACTTAAAACTTTTAAAGTATATAATTATAATTTATACACACAATGCAATGCTTTCTTCAAAAATTCATTAAACTAATATAAAACGAATTACTTTAATAACAATAATTTCATGAAATATACTTGGTAACATAGGCTGACAGTCCGTGTTTGCTCAGAATAATTTTTCGCATACAATGATTTTAAACTGAAATAAAAATTCAAAACAATTTCTGATTGAGTTGAAATCCAACACATCCATTGCAGTGACCCACACGACAATTAGTGTTCAGTAGAGCTCGCTTGCCACCTTTTTTATTTTATTTTTTTTATTGATTTTAGTGAAACACGTTTAGAACAATCCCCTGTTTCTAAACATTCTGAACTCATTTAAAAACACTAGGAAATTAATTCATTGTAGTATAAATAGTATAATTATTGACAATATTAGTCAAATTTAACTTAATGGTCAAGTCGGAATGCGTAATATCAATGTCAAAATAAATTACGAGTTAATATAATTTATTATACATTTAACATAAATTTGTTTATTTAAAAAAGTTTTACAGAAGTAGTTATGGGTAAGACACGTTAATTTTAGCTGTAGTTTCATTGTTGTAAATCTATAGGTACCTAGTAAAATTGACTGACAGAAAGCTAACAACTAACCAATCCATTAATAAAATTATTTGAAAAAATAAAGAATGTTAGTTTTATATGTAAAAAAATAATAACATTAAGTCCAGCTAACTGCCTATTTTTATTGTTATGGTAGAACTAACATTAAGATATATACCATTTAGGTGCAATATATTATATGAAAAATATTAACTGCCTAGGTGTATCTACAAACTTTTATAGATATACATTTTTTTTTCAGTCAAATTGTTGAAGAGACAGTATTTTGTAATACTAACAGCAATAAATCTGAAATGTTTTGTAATTCTGTTGGATTAATGAAGTTAGTAAATTTTAGTTGTAAATAAAATCAATTAAGTACTCAAATATTACATTTTTGATTCCAGCCATGTTCCTAAACAGTGTGAAAAAAATAATGACCATAAACAAAGTGTTAAATCTACTACTTCTGACCAAAGTTTACTGCAGTCTTCAGCAGGGTATGTAAACTTAATATAATGCAAAATGAGATACACATCTAGAGAGTATAATTTTTGTTTTCAGAGGAAATGTTTGCTTTAAGTCTATGGTCAGTATACAATTAAATCCTGTTGGTTCACTGCAAGAATTATGCATGGTCCGTCATTATCCATTTCCCTATTACACTTTTTCTGATGAAAACTTTAAGACACAAGAAGAAAGGTTTACGGCAATATGTTCCATATCTACTTACAGCTCCTCAGGTAGATATTATGTACAAAATTATATCTCAATTAAATATTAAAGAAAATTTTTTGAACAGGCAGAGGCATATCAAAGCAAGAAGCTAAAAAAGAAGCAGCTTACCTAATGTATAAGCAAATAGAAAAGTTGACATCAAAAGATTTTCATCATAATATTAATGACAACACATGTGAATATAATGATGAAAGTTGTAACATATTGACGTTCCATTTGTGTCATGAATCAGTGACTTCTTTGAAAACTTTTTTCGATTCAAAAGATGCACCAAAAACACCACATTTACAAAATATAAAGGTAATGTATTGAATATAGTTTATTCTATGCTACAGTATTACTAATAAATATTTAATTATTATTTTTATTGTTCTCATGTAGAAAAACTCAAATGAGTTCAAGTTGATGACAGCCACTGATACTTTAAAAACAATTTCAGAAAAAGAAGATTTTACTTATAAATGTGTTATGATTTCTCAGAATTGTGGTATGACATTTAATGAGATAGACATTTTTTTATACTTGTCTTAAGTTTCATGTCATTTTTTTTCAGATGAAGTAGAAGTTTTGATGCAGGTAAATACTAATCCAGTTATTGTGATATCAAAATCAGGAAAAAATAATTCTGATGCTGAAGAATCTGCCGCTCTTATTGTTCTGACATACTTCAAATTACGAAATAATATTTAGTGATATAACTTTAAAAATGTATTTACTTTTTATTATATTTTGCTTTACACTTTATGAACAATGATCATTATTTCTTTAAATGAATTATTGATTAATTCAATACATAATAACTGCTAATTTGATTTGACGACTTATTTTCCAGTTTAAATAAAGTAGGTAATTAGTAAAAGTAGTTTATTATAGTACTAATAATATTGTTTAGTAAATATAACCATTTTTTATCATCATTTGTTGAGTTATTTTATTTTACCCCTTCACTGCTCCAGACGTACCATTACGTTCCTTTAGTTTATAATATTTACTGATAACCACACAATGTAAGGAAACCCTGGATTTTTAGCTTAGATAAGATAATCTAAATTAAAAAATTTAACATTAACATTAATGATATTAATGTTTTAGAATTTAGATTGTAAGTGAAGCGATGAATGTACCTACTGATTGTACAATGATGTGTGTGTGTGTTTTTATTTGTGTCTGTTTACACGATAAGTAGACGAAATTATTTTAGAGATTTTCAACTTCAGTATATTTTTCGGTGTGAAAGTGAATCTTGGTGATACATTCAAGAGGTCATAATTTAAAATTCCCAGATATTTTCGAAAGCACCGGGAAAAAACATTAAAAAAAAAAGTTAGAACAGGAATTTTTAGCAAAAACCGATTTTTGAGAAAATCAATTTTGATTTTTGTTATAACTCTAAAAAAAATAACCGTAGATACATGAAACTTTTACTGAATTAGAATTTTCTATATACCATAGTGTTTACAAAATATTTGGACTCATGATGAGCATATTTATAAGCATATGAAATCTTCAATTATTATTATAATTTTTAAAATTAATATCCATAAAACATGTTTTAAAAAAAACTTGAGAGTGTAGTACAAGGTTTCTCGTACATTGTTGTTGGTGAAAATCAAAAAAAAATTGAACTTAATTCCACAATAATATTTTATAAGCTCCTAAATTTCATATTTGTACAAAATTCGTAAGAATCATAAAAATTTGCAAATTATTTTAGGTTAAAATTCATAAACATTTTTCTTTCTAAATTAAAGATTTGAAAATTTAATACAAGATTTCTCATAAGTTTGTCTACCTTTATTAAAACAAAATGACTACCAGAAAGTTAAATTAATTTTTTATTATTTAAAATGTTGACATCATTAGATATTTACTCGATTTGTCATGTAGGTAGCAATCATCTCATTTTGCTGTAATTAAAAAACGAATAACCTAGATATTTCAAATGTATAGAAAATATTTGTTTTATCATATTTTCCTAAACTTGAACATTTTTCTTATGAATTCAAAATTTACAAATTATTTTGTAGTTAAAAATGTATAAAACGTTCAACTTTTAAAGCTAAGGATTGAAAATTTAAAACAAAGGTGCTTATAAGTAGTTGATACTGCCGAAATAATGTATCATCACAGTTTTTTTTATTGTTATTTTAAGTTCAAATTCGGAAAGTATTACATATTTAAACCAAGAATAATGATTTTAGTTATTTTGTTGTAATTTAAAAATATTATTAGTGGGCACTTGAAACTTTTAGAGTGCCTATATATTATTATATTTTATACACATAATAACTTTTCAAATGGAATTTTTTTGGCAAAAAATAATTTAACTTACAGCAGTACTATAATGCCAAATAGTAAAATAAAATATGACTTCAATCACAATAATATCATCAAATATACCAAGTAATATTATATAGGCCGACATACCGTGTTTGCTCTGCAAAAACGATGTTTGTAAACAACGATTTCATATCATTGGATTGAAATTTAATACCATCGACTACAATTATTTGACGATGACGACCCATTTGAAACCCACTGTACTGGCTTACAAAATAATTTTCATAGAACACATGTTAATGCGTGCCATTATGTTGATTGAACGGCCAACTTAGGCATTAATTCGAAGTGATTAATTATCTTCTGAGATTTATGTTTATAAAGATGCACGAATTGTTATACATACGCAGTACAGTTTTTCCCTATATTTATATTCACATTTTTAAGTTTGTTGTACTGACGTCGTGTGTTTATATTATACTGTATTAATGGTCACACCATAAATAAATAAATAAATAAATAAACAATAATACGATTAATGTTTACTTAGTAAACATGTGATGTTCATAAGGGTTCCAAATATATTTTTGAAAGTGTTTACCGAAGTCTGGTGGCCAGAGCAAGTAAACAGTATTCTACGAAAATGTTCAGATATAGGTACAACTAATTTTCTTTTAATCACCATTGTCTAAATACACTGCGGTGCAATCAGTAACGAATGGAGTTATTCCTTGGTATAAATCATTTAAATACTTTTGTTTATAACCGATACAATCATAGTTTATAGGTACAGAACATTTAAACATTTAAGGTACCTACTACCTATTAACATAGTCCTCTAGTGTCTGCCATTCTATACACTTCGACAATATATTTTTGCCATTCAAGCGAGTACTTGCGTTCATATGTGTTGTAGGTACCTGTGTATATTGAGCAGTCATTCGAACACCCAGTTATGATCATATGACTATTTAACTACTAGTGATGGGTATTATTCGAATAGTTTTACTGTAAATAATTCGAATATTCAAATATTATAGTACTATAACTTTTTCTAGTCGTTTTTCCATGATAAGTCTTATACATTCATTCAATTCTTTAACCAATTTTCGCTACCGCTAGCCATGTATTCCTTTTCCTTTGCCCTTTTAATAGATTAGGTTAGCCGTTAGGTATACCTACATAGGTATAATATTTAAACAAACGTTTTAAAAACAAAGTTTTGTACAATAACATATAATAATAACACATAATATAATATTAGGTATAACAGAAAAATAATAAATAATGACTGAAAAATAAATATACATTTATAAGTAGGTAATAGTTTTATGCTATAATTTGTTCAATAATAATTAATAAATACTTGTAAGTTAAATTTCATTGATAAATATCATCGAAAATAATATTATTATTATTAATATTGATTTTGTAGTCCCAAATACTGAAAATCGAATTATTCGAATTATTCGATTATTCGAATATACATTACGCCCCTATTATCTACTATTATTAACCAAACTAACTTGTTGATTGTTGATTATTCTTTTCTACAAAATCTACGACTATCCACCTTATTCCTTATTCGTTTTTAAAACTTAAAACATTGACACTGTAATCGAAGTATCGAGTATCTATTAGTTATCGTATACCTAATTAATGTTGGTATATTACATATTATAATGTTATTTTTTTTGTATTATAAGTATAGTTATTCTATAGGATTATTATTTAGATTTTAAGTATAATTTTTTATGTGCTCAATAATTAAGTTAGGTACACATTAGGTAATCGAGAGGTAATCAATATCTGAAAACGACTTATAGGTACATGGAAGTCACTATAGCCACAAATGTAGGAATTTGTAAATGCTCATATTACTTTATAAATAAATGGTAGCATTGGTATTTAGTAAATTAAATTACACTCGGGTGGCAATCAGAGTCTGAAAATTATTTATAATATAATATATTATGGTGGTCACAAATGTCGGAATATTAAAAATGATTGATTGTTAAATTCCTAAGTAGGTATCGTATATAGTAGGTGCCCACTATAGAAGTAAACTATAATCTATAATACGTTTATTATTATAAATACGATACTTAGGTACATCATAAGTATGTATACCTACTGTGAAACACTAAAATGTGAGTATAAAATATGTCGTATAAACTAACCAATAAACGGTGTTCGAATTATTTTAGTTGTATCAAAAAATACGTAGCAGAAAAATGCACCACAATATCTTGTTAGTTCAATAAGTAAAGCAGTGAAGGTGCATAAATTAATATAAATGGAATCAAATCATGTACAGTATATACATCTAATATATGTAGGTAGTTCAAATTTGAGGGGGGGGGGCACAAGATACGTCCGATACAGGGCGGAGTCCGCCTTCATTTAATTAAGCGAGGAACTCTAGGAGTAGTCGTCTCCCTCTGGAGATGTCTACTTTAAAATTATGTATTTGGATTTTGATTTCATTAATTTCAAGAAAAGTAATAATGGTTTTTTTTTCCCAGAAAACGGTTGTAGTCGACAACAGTCGATAAGGTACCAATAACTACTATAGCTATTAGTTACGTACATGTATACATAGTTATTGATTTGTCAAATATTTTATTTTCATAATTTTTTACTATTTACTTGGAAATGTTTATCATTCTATATTATCATTGACGATAGCAGCCCTCCCCACCCCAGTTTTATAATCATATTTTGGCTTAAAAAATTAATGATCAGTGTTTGTGCTGCTAATACAACTCTAGCTCCATCTCTCCAAAAATATCCCTAGCTGTGCCTATTATAATGCAGGTATAATTACTTATTTTGTTTTCATATAATTTTACTATTCGATGTAATCGTGGAACAAATTTCACATGGATTCATAGGCAACGCGCACCTCACGATATTAGTATACTACGAGGCACTAAACAATCAAATAAGTGTCTAAATATTAATATGTTGTTGTGTTAATTATTTACTTTACTATATGTGTAGGGGGCGAGGGCGAAGAAGTAAAATTTGGAACTGTGTGTTCTGAACTAAAATCAGCATACATCCTCGATTTTTGTTAGATTAGAGCACCGGAGTCATTTAGCCATGTATAGGCACAGGTACACATCTATTAGGTTAGTTAGTGACTTTGAGTATCGAACACGACTCCGTGGATAAGTACATATTATATACGAATAATCAACTTTTCATTAAATAATACCAATTACTAGGAAACTGAGTGATTTTTAAATGTATTCAAATAACGTTTATACAGTCAAAAATAAGAGGTCTACTACAGCCCCCCAACAAATAATAACAATTTAAATCAACATTTTAGTTTAATTTTTAGAACAATATGAATTTAAACATTTAAAAAAACTTAAGATGTCTATGTTTTTTGGTCTGCACCTCTCTTTTTGAGACATAATTTTGAAATAACTCAAGAGAGTTTACATATTAACTGAGGTAAATAAAATGTTATTCAGAACCAAAATTATATTACTCAAACTGCTAAATACATGTTCCATATGAATCAATATAGACGACCCTTCAAAAAAGACAATCAAAAATGAAGAACACCCAAAACATATGATATTTAGTGATTCCCAG